TTATTTTGGGAGCTTGCTGAAGCCGCCATGGACTGTCTCTTTATGTGACTTGATATTGACCGTTGTCTCCGAGCCATTGATAATTTATTATAATTTTATTTTGTATTTGCTTAGTGAGACCTAGCTTCTTATTTTGTTTTGTTTTGATATGCCCAAATAGGCTGCTCATGTGCACTAGTTTGATATTTGACACCTTTGGATCTCTAACGTCCTGTCACCAGGTAGTTAGTTCTGTAACTAAGTATGTGCACACAGGAGTCCAGTAAATTTTCCTGTATGGGTTCAGCTCGGGTATTCAGGCAGTTGGTCACCAAGTGTGTGATGCAGGCTCTCACCCCCAGTCCTAGAGAGGCATGGGTGATTGGTGCAGGCACTAGACTCTGGTTGTGGTAGTAGATCATGCACTGAGCCAGGCAGGGGGTTGACAGCTGCCCCTGAGAGTCTGAAAGGAAAGCAAGTCCCTATTCTCTAGGATGAATAGATAGGTGAGTTTTGCAGCGGGACTGTGAGCACCCCACTCTGTTGGCTGTAAAGACTTGAGGGCACCACTTTTTCTTGGACTCCTGTAGCAGGTGACTAGGCACTTTAGGTGCTACCACCAGTCCTCAAGCCCCTGCTGCAGATCAATAAAAGTGCCTACTTAAGGGGCAGGGCTGTTTCGAGGGTCACAAATCTGCCAGTTCACAGCTGAAGCAGTTGAAGTAAGACTTCAGATGTTTGCCCTGTTGTACTGTGGCAGTGAGGACTAACGCTGTTGAGATGGGTCCCCACAAGTCTACACAGGGTTGTAAGGCACTCAAGAGTCTGCGGACCCCTGATACCTGTGCTTGGCAAAGGAGCTGTGCCGTCCCTGTGTTCCTGGCCTAGGGGAGCCAGCAGCTTATTTGTTCCCTCTCCAAGGCCAGGAGAATGGGTCAGAGCGCCTTTTGGGATCTACTTCTGGCCCAGCGGACTCCCAGTGCAGAGCGTGGAGGGAGGAGGTAAAAGAGAGAGAGGTTTTTCCCAAATGGGCTTTTTTTTTTTTTTTTTTTAAATCCCTACGAAAGGGTGCATGCATGTACTTATCTTAGCCTCTTGGGAGCTGCTCTTCGCTGGTTCGGAGTGTCCAAGCAGAATCTCTGCTGCCAGGTCTCTGTCGATGTGGAAACTGCTTCCTGAGTGTGCCAACCGCACAGCTGTTTGCCTGCTTCACCACGGACGGCGTGGCTGCGGAGCTGCAGTTTCACCACTGGGACTCTGGCCCTCCTCACCTCTTCCAAACAGTCTCCCTCTCCTGTATCACTCAGACGGATTTCTTTACCTTGCCTTGTTCAGGGTTTGCAGATATTCAATCAAATCACTTGTTTTTCCAGGTCTTTGTTGTAAGAGGGATATAGGAAGCATCTAACTACTCCGCCGTGTTGACCACGCCTCCTCACAGCCAAGAAAACTCTATGGAGTGGTTCTACACCGTCCCATGGGGTCACTATGAGTCAGAGTCAACTCAACAGCACCCGTCAACAACAACATCATGTGTGCCAGGAACTGTACTAAGCACTTTACGTCTCTTAATTCATTAATCCTTGCAGCAAATTTCAGAGCTGGCTATTACCATTACGTCCATTTTATAGTTTATAGGAAACTGAAGCTTAGAGAGGGTAACTTCCCCCAAGTCAACCCACTAGTTGGTGCTGAAGCTAGAATGACTCACTGGACCATCTCTCTTCTACCTCCAAGCTTGGTTGGTGTTTGGTACATAATTTCAAGTGAAGGAGTGGTGGATTCACATTACTCATTAATTGATCTGAATTCTTCTGGAAGCTACTGATCACTTCCTCCTGATACTTTTCATGAGTTACTAAACTCTGTGGTGTGGTAGTTTTACTTAAACTTTTTTGACCTGACTTAAGGGTGCCCCTCACAGTCTTCAGGCACATTTATGTGTTTTGTCTCTGTACCTGTTGATATAGTCTGTTCGTTTTTTACATGCTATACACCCTTGTTCATTTTGGCTGACTTTCTCTGGATCTTACCTTATCTGGATGCTTAGATGTCCTTCTCTGAAAACAGAAAATACATCCCGCCAGAAGGAATGGAAGGCAGGTGCTGTCTCTTCTTCACTTGTGTGAGTGAGGAGAGGGAAGATAATGCCAGAGAAAGGCCATTACTAGAGCTACAATTTAAGTTTGTACCTTGACTAAACTTGCATAAAATATCCCAGATGTTTTGTTACTCATTTTTATTAAAAGGCAAGATAGTTCTATCTTGTCTTCAGTATTTTTTTTTTCCTAACACAGCATATTGTTCCCACAAAATGCCTTCCAGATTTCTTTCCTTTTTGCCATCACTCATTGTCTTAGTTATCTAGTGCTGCTGTAACAGAAATACCACGAGTGGATGGCTTTAACAAACAGATATTTATTTTCTTACAGTTTAGTAGGCTAGAAATTTGAATTCAGGCCACTGGCTTTAGGGAAAGGCTTTCTGCTTCCGTTGGCTCTGAGGGAACATCCTTGTTCCTTGGTTCTTTGGTGGTCTTCATGTGGTGTGGCATCTGTCTTCCCCCAACTCTGCTTGCTTCTCTATGCCTAATTTGCTCTTTTTATATCTCAAAGGTGATTGGCTTAAAACACACCCTACAGTAATACGGCCTCTTAATATAACAAAGAAAACCCATTCACAATTGAGATTATTACCACAGGTATAAAAAATTGAACCCTTTGCCATCAAGTCAAGTCCATCTCATAGGACCCTGTAGGACAAAATAGAACTACCCCATAGGGTTTCCAAGGCTGTAATCTTTATAGAAGCAGACTGCTACATCTTTCCCATGCAGAGCGGTTGGTGGGTTCCAACCACTTACCTTTCAGTTAGCAGCCAAGCGCTTAACCACTGCACCACCAAGGCTCCACCCATGGGTATAAAAACCAAAATGCCACTGCTGTCGAGTTGATTCTGACTCATAGTGACCCCATAGGGTTTCTAAGGTTGTAAATCTCTACAGAAGCAGACTGCCACATCTTTCTCCCATGGAGCCACTTGTGGTTTGAACCGCCGACCTTTCAGGTAGCAGTCAGTTGCTTTAACAATAGGGGTTAGGATTTACAGCACATATTTTGGGGGGACACAATTCCAACCATAACACTTAGCATCCTCCTTATGACTGTATGTGTATCAGTTCAGGATGTTGGCAGGAGAAGATGGGTCTAACTGGGTGATTTGAGGAGAGTATAATAGACTACCCAGGTGTGGGGAGAGCATAGGGGAGCCACTAGGGCAGTGCAGCATCCCGTGGCTTGCATAAGTGGGAGTACTTTCCACTCTGGGTCTGGAGGGTCAAGAGGAGGGGCTAGTTACTGACGCTGGAGGCAGCCTGTGTGGAACAAGCCATCGCTCAATAGCTTCTCCCTTCAGTCCAGGGCATAGCAGCCTGTGGTAAATCCCACAGGAAGGGAGCCAGGTGCCCAAGTTCCCCTAACCCACACATACACCTTCTGCCAGTGCTTCTCATTGTATAAGCCCGACTGGAAGCCAGCCCGCAAAGTAGCCCTTCAGTGTATTGCTTTCACATCAGCCTTCCAGAGCATAGAGCAGGGGGAGAAGGGGCAAGTGGATCTGGAGGAGTAAATGGAAGAAGTACTGTCTGTGTATGTGTGGGCTTGTGTTTGTGTGTGTGTTTAACACTCCAAATGGGGAGAGGTAGAGTGGTTAATTAAGAGCATGGGCTCTGGATTAGGCACACCTGAGTTTGATACCCAGCTCTGCCACTTGCTTACTGTGTGACCTTGGGCAAGTTACTTAGCCTGTCTTCTGTCACTTGTAAATTGCATATGATAATAGTTTCTGTCTTGTACATTATGAGAAATAGATGAGATAATATATGTAAAGCAGTTGCCACAGTGCTAGGCATAAAGCACAATAAATGTTGGCAGTGCATGTATTTCCTTATACTTGCGTGTTATAAAATTCACTCGGTCATTTTTGCTCATGTGTGTTTGTGAATCTTTTTATTAGTATTACCTCTGAACTGTTCCAAGGGTAGCTTCTCTGATATTAAGAGATTCCACTTTGTCTCTTCTCTCAAATCAAGCAGTTGCCTCTGTAGACATCAGCTGTATCAGGCTATAATTCAGTGATAACCATTAGGACTATTCAGTGTTATACCTCCTCCCAGAGGCGCACATAGCTAGTGACTGGGCTGTGTAGGAGTATGAGGGCCCAGCTGCTTTGTCTCAGTTTGGAACAACTGAAGGACTTTTCTAACTCCAGAGTTTCTTATAGATGGCTGAGGCCTTTGTATTACATTGCAGGTCAGCTTTTCCCACTGCCCACTCCTGCCTTTCTCATTTCCACAGAGGGGCATCTCTCAAAAGACACTCCCCAGTAAAACTTCTACATATAACTGTGTCTCAGAGGAACCTGATATATGACACTAGTATAAATTCCAGGAGTAGAATTTACCAGATCAAAGGTTTTACTGTGTTGTTGCTGTGTTTTTCTCCAAAGGATGTGCCAGTAGAGTATGTGAGTACAGCCGGTGTAATCACTCCTTTGCCACAGGATGTTGTTTAAAAAGTACTTTTGGCTGCTGTGCTTCTTGTGCTTGTGTTTTGTGACTGCCAAGAACTATGAGGGATCTGAGATGTTACCCTACATGGAAACAAGTGCCTGCCAGATTCATGGATGCTGGAAGAAGACATGAGGCTTCTAGGCCAGAGTTACAGGACTTTATTACTCACAGCACAGTAAACAGCATGAGCATCATGTTTGCATCATTTCTCCCTTGTCCCCAAGTCCCACGGGAATGACATGAAAGGGCCCAAGTGAATGCGGTACACACTGTGGGTTTGCATCAAAGATAAGGAACCCTGATCTTAGGAATCCGGAATCTTTGATAACGGACTGCAAGCAAACTTGTCCTTTGCCGCAGCAGGAGACATTTTTATTATATTGGACAGTAAGCAAATCTGTCCTTTGCTCTAGAGAGGCTTCCAAGGCTGTTCACTATACAAATAATTTGAAAAGGCAATCCAGAACAAAAGGGCAGTGACTTGCTCTCAGGAAAAGGGCAGAAATGCAAGAGATCATGGAGAATTTTTTCCCCAACAGTAATAGTAACTTTTTGCCATATTTGCCATGCATATTATTTGTAGCTGTAAGGTCGCTATGAGTTGGAATCGACTTGATGGTAGCAGGTTTGGTTTTTGGTTTTTTTGGGCAAGTCTGTTTTTTTTCTGAGCAGTAGTTTTCCTCATCTGTAAAATGAGTCTTGAAATAGATGGTTTCCTAGGTGTGTTTTAACCCTAAAATGGAAACCAGTGGGATCACAGCCCTATGCTTTCTCTTGTTCATTGTCTGAAAATAGTTGTTGTGTATTTTGTCCTGTTTCATAATTGGTTACAGTGGAAGGGCTAATCAGGTACCAGTTAGTTACTCCCTTATGGCCAAGAGTGGGATAGCCTGCTTTATTTTTATCCATTGTACAGCGTAAATCTTGTGTTTGTTCATTATCCGGCACACTCTCTAGAATGTAATCTCTGTGAGAGCAGAGGCTCCTTTATTCATGGCTGTTTCTCCAGCTTTTAGAACAGTGCCTGGCACACAGTTTGGTTTAATGAGTATTTGGCTGAGTGAGTGAATGAATAAATCTTGATGAGAAGTGGAGGCTACCTTTCTCCAAAGAAGCCATAAAGGCCAGGTGATTGCCTTCCTGCTATCCTCTATGGTTTATAGCTGAACTGTAGTTACGGAAGGTCACCTGATTTGAGGGTATGAACTGGCGTCTTGGAGGAGAATCCCCTTTGGAGGTCACAGCATTCACGCTGCATCTTGTTTGCAGTGTCTTTCATGGTGTCAGGGTAGTTCTGTAGCATGATTTTTGTTTGGTTCAATGACTGGCCACCCTTATCTCTGCCCGTTTTCCATTTCTGGTCATTCAGCTTTCCCAGTGATTCTGTGAAGCCCCACTTCCTTTTAAGAAATTCTTTCTTTGCTTAAATCATCCACAGTCAGTCTTTGGTGCTTATAACTAAGAACTCTTAGTAATGCACTCTCTTAAAACTGCCCAGGACTCTGATCTCCCACTGCCTTTCCTGGATATTTAATCAGAACTTGGTGGGGGGATAGGAAAATCAAGGAAACTGCCTTGACTTTGGAAAATTCTGGTTTATTATAAATATTATAGGTCTCCACATTATGTAGGCATTTATGCAAATTAAATGTCACATTTAGAAGATGCTGCGCCTTCATCCTGCAGTTCTTGTTTCCCAATGCTTTTGCTGACCAAATTAATCAGCTGTATTTCTAGTCCTCTGTTAGAAATCTTACTGTATTTTTACTTGACTGTACTAAGAGTCATAAGATTGATTTTTCATTTCAAGTCTTGACTTTTATTTGCTGTGCTTTGTTGTAGGTAGACATGCTATTAATGTAAGTTTATTTTATCCACTTAGGAGTTTCATAATAGAAGAGCAGAGCTTCTCGTTATGTGAAGATCTTCTCTATGGAAGAATGTCATTCAGAGGATTTAATCCTGAGGTTGAGGTATTAAATATAATTGCTTCAAATTTAAAGATTTTCCAATTGAATTCTTTCTGCTAATAATTGTGTTAGGTTTTTCTCCACCAGGTGCCATTTCTCCTCATTATCTAGAAAATAACAAGTCTTGAAATATTGCCATAGCTATTTAAAGAAATTGCAGGCGTTGCAGTCTAGTTTTATGGTGGGCTGAGTGGATAATTAAATACCGCCATGTACAGCCCCTGACAGTGCCACCTTAAATGTGAGAGTTTCCACTCAGGTCTCTTACAGGAATGTCAGGATTTTATTCCTATGATGCCATTAGGAAAATGAATCCTTTGAAGAGTTTGTTTGAGAAGTGAATATTTACCCTGTAACTGAGCTATTTATTTGAATTTTCTTGCCTCAACTTTGTAGAAAAGCACAAGACATTCATTTAGCAAATATTTTTTAGAGCTTTGGTTCATATGTTGAAAGTCATCCTATCAGGGACTTGACCAATGCCATGGACCTGTGTGATGTAAATCATCAGTTTTGTGACCATCATTTGAAGGCAAGGTTTCTCAGCCTTGGCACCGTTGACATTTGGACTAGGTCAGTCTTTGTGATAGGGCTGTCCTGTGTACTGTAGAATATTTAGCCACATCCCTGGCCTCTACACACTAGATGCCAGTAGCAACCCTAGTTGTGACAACCAAAAATGTCTCCCGCCATTGACAGACATCTCCTGGGGGGCAAAATCGTCCCAGTTGAGAACCACTGCTCTAAGGATGCCTGTATTAGTCAGAATCACAGTTATCTGAAATAATTGCCAAAGGTTATTTATAGTTTGGTTTTCTTTCTTTCCCTTTTTTGAAGTGTGTGATAACCAAGGTGTTATATGTACTTTGCACAAAGTCGAGACTGAATGCATTCTCTCTGGGAAAAGGTTTTGAACTCTTGAGCTTCCAGACGTGAGCTGTCTTAAAATGTGAGGAAAAAAATTATTTTCTGACGTGTACCTTTTCTAATGGGAAAATCTTACTATAAATTGTGTAATTTGACCTTTTTAACGGACAGGTTTTAACCCAAAGTCGTGTAAATAGACTTTTAAATGTGAGAAAAATTCAATTCTCCCGGTAATGAAAAAAATGATACCAACTTAAAAGCACTTACTTCATAGCAAGGTATGTTCGGAACATACTTTTTTTTTTAATTGTATGTGTTTCTAGTGATATATAGCATCAGCCAGTTCGGTTGCCATAGAGTTGACCCCGACTCATGATGACTCCATGTGTGTCAGAGTAGAACTGTGCTCTATAGGGTTTTCAGTGCTGATATTTTGGAAGTAGATTGCCAGGTCTCTCTTCTAAGGCACCTCTGAATGGACTCAAACCTACAACCTTTTGGTTAACAACTAGGCACGATGACCATTTTTACCACTGCAGTGTGATTAATTACTTTTGTGTGTGGCCTTTCTAGCCATGGTCTTGTAACTCCCACCCAGGTGATTAGCCTGTGTGATTGGGTAATTGGTCAGTTTTGCCTTAGAAGAGAGCCAATTTCAGAGCAGGGAGGAGGATCCTACCACCAACAAGGAAGAACAGCCAGGAACAGAGACCTCTGGACCTGGGATTCTACGCTGAGAAGCTCCTGGAAGCAGGAGACCGAGAGACAGAGAGAGAGAGCAAGCTGTAACCTTGAAGATGGAGAGAAGTGGTGGCAGGAGATGGCACAGTGGACTTTCTGGCCCACTGAGAGAGAAAGCTGTGTGCCTTTGGGGAGAAACCTAGGGCCCAGAAGAGCCTGTCCTGATGAAAGCACTGTATCCTGAGTGTTCCTGAGCCTGAATTGTAACTGTTACTTCCCTAATAAACCCCATAATCATGAGTATGGTCTGTGAGTTCTCTGTGGCCATTGCAGTGAATATTCAAACCCAGCAGAGAAGTAGAGAGTGCTGTGCAAGGGACAGTTGGTGTCAGAATTAGTAAAGATAGCAGAGAGGGGAGGCTTGTCTGGCCTCCACCTCGTGGGAGTCAGCCATGTGGTGTTGCTCTTGGTTCTCCTTCCTCCTTTTGGGGTTGGAGGAGGTCAGACACTGCCCCCAAGCTGTTTTTACAACCACCTAGGAACTCTGACATCTAGCACAAAGTTTATTCTGTAAATACTTATTCTGTACCTGCAGTCTGTCAGCCTCCTCTAGGTGCCGGAAATGCTGCAGGGAGCCAAACTCTGTCCTCGTGAAGCTTGTATTCCTGAAATTATTTTATGTTCAGTCCTTTAAAAGTTGGAAAAACTAGTTGAGACTAGTTTCTCCTGTGCTTTCCTCTCCTCATTACTTTCCCCTTGGCTATAAATAAATTACTGTATATTTAAAAAAAAAAAAAGTCTCTCAGAGGATAACCATCAGAAAAGGTTAACATAGAAACAAAGTCCTGATAATATGCTACAACATGCATGAACCTTGAAAACATGCTGAATGAAGTCAGTCACGAAAGGACAAACATTGTGTGATCTCACTCATGAAATAGCTAGAATAGGCAAATATATAGAGATTAAAGTCTAGTAGTGGTTACCAGGGACAGGAGGGACAGGTAAAGGGTGAGTCATTGTTTAAGAAGCAGTAAGTTTCTGTTAATGGTGATGGAAAATTCAGCAACGTATATTGGTGATGTTTGTGCAACATGATTGATGTAATTGGTGTCACTGAATTGTACATGTGAAAATGTTCAATTGGCAAATGTTGTGTTACCTATATTTTTACAACAGTTAAAAAAACAAAAGGTTTGTGTACAAGAACAAGATAAAGCAGAGACCTGTGGCACATTACCCACCTCACGTTTAGGGGATGAGGGCAGGATGTAGATTGTCTCCATCGTTCCCAGGCTACCACTCTAGTCATTACTTCTTTCCAGTAATTTGCTGTTGCCTACCTCCCCCTGCCCAAAAGCATTTAAAATTACTATTAACTATCGTACTTCTTCCATTGACTCAAAGATGGGAAATTTAGAGGGAATCTTAGAGACTTGTTTTTTTCTTTCTCCCGCTTTTACTGGAGTATGATGGCACTGTGCCTACTTTAGATATGTTGTTAACTGCTGTCGAGTTGACGCCATCACAGTGGAACAAAATTCTGCCCGGTCTTGTGCCATACCCATGGTTGGTTGTGTATCAGACTCTTGTGATCCATATGGTTTTCATTGACTGATTTTCAGAAGTAAATCGCTAGGCCTTTCTTCCTGCTCCTTCTTGGTTTGGAAGCTCCGCTGAAACCTGTTCCGCATCACAGTGACACGCAAGCCTCCACTGACGGACAGGTGGTGGCGCATTGGCAAGGAGTCAAACCTGGGTTTCCCACATGGAAGGCAAGAATTCTACCACTGAATCACTATCTTAGTGGGGGTTCTCTAGAGAGGCATAACCAGTAAAGCATATAAATATATATAGAGAGAGATTTATATGAAGGAAATGGCTCACACAGTTGTAGAGACCAGAATGTCCCAAGATCAGCAGGTCAGAGAGCAGGGCTCTTGCTCACAGGCTGCGAAGATCAACAAATCCTAAGTTCGACAGGCAAGACCACAGGTAAGCTGCTAGCTCAAGTCCCAAGAACCAGAGGTCGGGTGAACAGGAACCAGCCGCGGGATCCGGGGTGAGCAAAAAGCCATGAGCCTTTCCAGAATGTCCACTTATATTTGATTTAACACGCCCAGGAAAACTCCCTTTCAATTGATTGGCTGCTCACAGCAGATCCCATCATGGGGGGTGATCACAAGATCATACAACTGCCAAACCACTGAGAATCATGGCCCAGCCAAGTTGACACACAGTCTTAACCATCACAACCGCCAGTGTCCACTTTAGATATAGGTAACTAAGAATAAGCTTTATGATCTAAAATACAATTTAAATATAATCTAGTGAGGTGTCATGTTATTGTTTTAATTCAGAGCTGATCTCTGGCGGCCCACTGTGGCATAAAGTGTTACAGAGAAGCCCTTATAAACTTTGGCTGGTCCTGTAGATTCTCTGACTTTGGTTTCTCTGCCTGCAAATAAGTTTGAGATCAGTTCTTTTCAAAAGCCTTTTCCAGCCCTAATGGTCAACGTTGGTGTGTTTTTCAGAAATTAATGCTTCAGATGAACTCTAAGCACAAAGCTGAAGAAATTGAAGATGAAACTGTGGAGCTTGATGTGTCAGATGAAGAAATGGCTAAAAGGTAACCATTACTTTGGAAGAGCTTTGTAACCAGGGCTGAATTCACTGGTTTCACCTGAGCTTGTGCATTCCTTTCACCCCACAGTATCCCACAGCCCTTAAAGGGAAAGGTGATGTAAGCTGCTTTCTCATACATTGCGTGTAATGAATTCAGGCCTGGCACAGGCTTGCAGCTGAGGGCTCATTTCCAGTGCTACTTCCAATACATATTTTTAAATGTACACTTCTAAATGAGAAAGTTTTAAAGTTCTACTTTGGGATATGGAATGTTAAGTTATAACCCTCTTCTGTCCCGTCTAAGAACCCTGGTGGTGCAGGGGTTAAGCACTCAGCTGCTAAGTGAAAGGTCAGCAGTTCGAACCCACCAGCCACTGCATGGAAGAAAGATGTGGGAGTCTGCTTCTGTAAAGATTACATCCTTGGAAACCCTGTGGGGCAGTTCTGCTCTGTTCTGTAGAATCCCTGTAAGTTGGAATTGACTCGACAGCAACAGGCTTTTTGGTTTTTGTCCCTTCTAAGAAACCTTCCATAAAAATTGACATTACTCATCAAGAAAAAGAAATATACATCTTAACTTACTGAGGATAATGCAAAAACAAAAGAACAGGAAGAATTTTATCATTCTTAGAGATGTTTGTATATTTTTAAATCAGAAGGCTTCTTTTAATTGTAGTTTTGATTGTTTTCATTCTCTGTTATGTATTTAGTTTGATATTCTCGACAGACTTGATTCCGACATTTTTTATTTTAAATTAAACATGTGCTGTATATCATCTTAACAGGTATGAAACCTTGGTGGGGACAATTGGAAAGAAGTTTGCCAAGAAAAGAGACCGTGCCAATTATGAGGAAGATGAAAATGGGAACATAAAACCAACTAAAGCAAAGAAGGTGTTCTTAAAGCCCCAAGATTAAAATGAATGCCTTAAGATGTGCATCAGGGATGCCTCACGAAAGATAGCAGCATATTTTGGAACTTACTCTGATACTTTCTCTGTAGTTTTTACTACTATAATATGTATTTGTAAACAAATGTATAATTTTAGAAAATGCTGTTCCCAAAACAGATGTGTGATGGATGTTATACATCCTTTGCTCAGTGGTGTTCGTCAAGAATGGGTTTTCAGCCCTTGATCTTCAAATGTACATAGTTACATGGTTGCTTCCTAAATATTTTTTGACCTCAGGTTTTTTTAATATAGTTCTCTAGTTCCTGACCTTCAATAAATTAATATCACTGTTTAAATTGTCCTTGTGTTTTATCTTTTACTTTAAATTATTAATCATGTCAGGCCAATTCACATACATATTTTGGAACCAAATGTGTTATGAGAATTCATTATATGTAAATTCATCAAAAATGAACATGCCACTCCAGCCGTAAGTATTTGCATGCTACCAAGTTGTTACCAGTTTATGGTATTAGGGTTGTTCATTTAAAGCCCTTAATTAATAATTTTTTTAAAATACTGTTCTTGAATGAACATCTGTTTTCACATACTTTTTCTATTCTACTTTCAAGTAATAATTTTAGTCTAATTCAGTAGTCTAACTTTTATCAAGATAAAAAACCAAAACCCAACCTTTTGCCATTGAGTCGATTCCAAGTCATAGCAACCCTATAGGACAGAGTAGAACTGCCCCCTAGAGTTTCCGAGTGGCTGGTGGATTCAAACTGCTGACCTTTTGGTTAGCAGCCAAGCTCTTAACGACTGTGCCACCAAGGACCCTTTATCTAAAGAGTAACTTTTAAAAAAAAAAAAAGGCATTAATTTAGGGTAGAGTGGTCTATTAGGTTGAACCATAAGAAATTGTCCTTTTCATGAGTCAAAAACAGTTGAATGTCATCAATTTCTTATGGTCTACTCCACTAGAATTTACCACTGACCAGAGCATCTCCTAGTCTATACCCTATTCTAAATACTAATAAGTAAAGAAACACATGGAATTAAGTGTCTGTGTATCTGTAGATATGTACCTAGGACATCTAAGAAGTTCTAATTTAATTTTGTTCCTAGCAGCTAAATGAGGTGCGTATCTCCTCTTCTTGGAAGCACTGTCTCTTCTTAGATTTTGATTGCTCTGTGAACTCAACTCTCTGATGAGTTAGAAAAAATGGTATGGATTTGAAGTTAGTCTGACTTTTTCATTGCAAGGGTATGAGTAATGCTTTCAGCTCCCTGCATGCCAGGGAGTGGAAGCTGGAAGTCCACAGTGCTTATAGCAGCACCACAATCAATAGACTTACGGAATGGATAGTCATCCTCATGGTATTCTGCACAACATGATTTTGTGACCTTTGTGTGATCAACTAACCAATTTCACAGTAAAAGAAGTAAGGCAAAGAGCCTATGCCTCATAACATGCTGTATCACCCAGAAATAGCTGGCAGAATAGAATGGTGGGATGGTCTACTGAAGACTACATTAGAGCTCCAGGTGGGGTATGACACTTTTTTTTTTTTTAATTATTGTGTAACGACATTTGCCAATTCAACATTTTTTATGAGCACACCAATTACATCAATCATGTGTAACTATCACCAGTATCCATTGCCAAATCCTCCATCACCATAAACAGAAACTTACTGCTTCCTAAAAATCATGACTCACCCTTTCCCCTGGTGATGATGTTAGGTGCCATCGAGTCCATTCTGACTCATATGTACAACAGAACGAAACGCTGCCCAGTCCTGCACCATCTTCACAATCTTTGCTATGCTTGAGCCCATTGTTGCAGCCACTGTGTCAATCCATCTTGCTGAGGGTCTTCCTCTTTTTTACTGACCCTCTACCAAGCATGACGTCCTCTGTGACTAGTCCCTCCTGATAACATGTCCAAAGTACCTTCAAGACAGATTTGTTTGTTCTTCTGGCAGTCCATGATATATTCAATATTCTTTGCCAACACTGTAATTCAAAAGCATCAATTCATCTTCACTCTTCCTTACTCATTGTCCAGCTTTTGTATGCATACGAGGTGGTTGAAAACACCCTGGCTTGGGTCAGGCGCACCTTAGTCTTCAAGGTGACGGCTTTTTAACACTTTAAAGAGGTCTTTTGCAGCAGATTTGCCCAATGCAATGCGTCCTTTGATTTCTTGACTGCTGCTTCCATGGGTGTTGATCGTGGATCCAAGTAAAATAAAATCCTTGGCAACTTCAGTCTTTTCTCCGTTTATCATGATGTTCATTATTGGTCCAGTTGTGAGGATTTTTGTTTTCTTTATGTTGAAGTGCAATCCATCCTGAAGGCTGTAGTCTTTGATCTTCATCAGTAAGTGCTTCGAGTCTTCTTCACTTTCAGCGAGCAAGGTTGTGTCATCTGCATAATGCAGGTTGTTAATGAGTCTTCCTCTAATCCTGATGCCCCATTCTTCTTCATATAGTCCAGCTTCTTGGATTATTTGTTCAGCATACAGATTGAATAAATACGGTGAAAGGATACAACCCTGACACACACTTTTCCAGATTTTAAACTACACAGCATCCCCTTGTTCTGTTCAAACAACTGCCTCTTGGTCTATGTACAGGTTGCACATGAGCTTGATTAAGTGTTCTGGAATTTCTGTTCTTCCCAATGTTATCCATAATTTGTCATGATCCACACAGTCAAATGCCTTTTCATAGTCAATAAAACACTGGTAAACATCTTTCTGGTATTCTCTACTTTCAGCAAAAAGCCATCGAACATCAGCAATGATATTCCTTGTTCCACGTCCTCTTTTGAATCTGGCTTGAGTTTCTGGCAGTCCCCTGTCAGTGTACTGCTGCAACTGCTTCTGAATTATCTTCAGCAAAATTTTACTTGTGTGTAATATTAATGATATTGTTCGATAATTTCTGCATTGTCTTTCTTTGGAATAGGCATAAATATGGATCTCTTCCAGTCAGTTGGCCAGTTAGTTGTCTTCCAAATTTCTTGGCATAGATGAGTGAGCACCTCCAGCACTGCATCCGTTTGTTGAAATATCTCAGTTGGTATTCTGACAATTCCTGGAGCCTTATTTTTCACTAATGCCTTCAGTGCACCTTGGGCTTCTTCCTTCAGTACCATTGGTTCTTGATCGTATGCTACCTCCTGAAATGGTTGAACGTCGACCAATTCTTTTTGGTACAGTGACTCTGTATTCCTCCCATCTTCTTTTGATGTTTCCTGCGTCATTTAATATTTTCCCCATAGAAGCCTTCAATAGTGCAACTCAAGGCTTGAATTTTTTCTTCAGGTCTTTTAGGTTAAGAAATGCCAAGCGTGTTCTTCCCTTTTGGTTTTCTAACTCTAAGTCTTTGCCCCTTTTATTATAATACTTTACTTTGTCTTCTCAAGCTGCCCTTTGAAATCTTCTGTTTAGCTGTTTTAATTCATCATTTCTTCCTTTTGCTTTAGTTATTCTATGTTCAAGAGCAAGTTTCAGAGTCTCTTCTGGCATCCATTTTGGTTTTTTCTTTCCTGTTTTTTAACGACCTCTTGCTTTCTTCATGTATGGTGTCCTTGAGGTCATCTCATAATTCATCAGGTCTTTGGTCATTAGTGTTCAATGCGTCAAGTCTATTGTTGAGATGGCCTCTAAATTAAGGTGGAATATACTCAAGGTGGTACTTTGGCTTTCATGGACTTGTTTTAAATGTCTTTAGCTTTAGCTTCAACTTGCATATGAGCAATTGATGGTTTGTTCCGCAGGCAGCCCCTGGCCTTCATCTGACTGATAATATTGAGCTTCTCCATCTTCTGTTTCCACAAATGTAGTCAATTTGATTCCTGTGTATTCCATTTGGCAAGGTCACATGTAAAATCACCACTTACGTTGTTGGAGAAAGGTATTTCCAATCAATAGATTGTTGGTCTTGAAAAATTCTATCGTGACCCTCAAGGCCATATTTTCCAACCACTGGTCCTTCTTTGCTTCCAACTTTTGCATTCCAATCATCAGTAATTATCAATGCATATTGATTGCATGTTTGATCAATTTCAAATTGCAGAAGTTGGTAAAAATCTTCAATCTCTTCATCTTTGGTGTTGGTTGGTGCATAAATTTGAAAAATAGTCGTATTAACTGGTTATGCTTGCAGGCATAGGGATATTATCCTATCATTGACAGCACTGTACTTCAGGATAGATCTTGCAATGTTGTTTTTGACAATGAACGTGACATCATTCCTGTTAAATTTATCATTCCTGGCATAGTGACCAGATGATTGTCCTATTCACAATTGCCAATACTAGTCCATTCCAGCTCACTAATGCCTGTGATATCCATCTTCAAGCATTCCGTTTCATTTTTTGACAAGTTCCTATTTCCCTAGATACATACTTGGTCCATCTCACATTCTGATTATTATTGGATGTTTGCAGCTGTTTCTTCTCATTTTGATTCATGCCACATCAGCAAATGAAGGTCCGAGAGATTGACTCCATCCACATCATTAAGGTCGACTCTGCTTTGAGGAGGCAGCTCTTCCCCAGTTGTATTTTGAGTGCCTTCCGACCTGAGGGGCTCATCTTCTGGTGCTATATCAGACAATGTTTCACTGCTATTCATAAGGTTTTCACTGATCAATTCCTGCAGAAGTATATTACTAGGCCCTTCTTCCTAGTCTGGCTTAGTCTGGAAGCTCCGCTGAAACCTGACCACCATGGGTGACCCTGCTGGTATTTGAAATACCAGTGTTCCAGCATCACTGCAACACTCAAGCCACCACAGTACAACAAACTGACAGATGAGTGGTGGAAACATGTCTTTAGGAATACACACACACACACAAACATTTCTGTTGGGTATATACCTATCAGTGGAAATACTAGCTCATAAAGTATGGATATTTTCAGCCTTATTAAACACATTCACTACCACCCGTTTGTCAGTTTGTCTTACCATGGTGACTTGCATGTTGCTATGATGCTGGAAGCTATGCCACTGCTATTTCAAATACCAGCAGGTCCATCCATGGTGGACAGGTTTCAGCAGAGCTTCCAGACTAAGACAGACTAGGAAAAAAGGGCTGGTGATCTACTTTCAAAAATCAGCCAATAAAAACCCTATGGATTAAAGCAGAATAATTGTCTGACTCACTTGTTTTGGACACGTCATCAATAGGGATCAGTCGCTAGAGGAGGACATCATGTTTAGTGAAGTGGAGGGCCTGTGAGAGCATGAGTGACCTTCAGTGAGATGGATTTGCACAGTAGCTATAATGATGGACTTAAACATGCC